TCACTGTAATAAGTCTTCCAGTTGTGCAACATCTAACCAGGATTTTCAGGAAACATGACTCTTTCTCTCACCTCCTCTTTGGTCCACAGTGCAGGTCTTGAAGGTAGTTCTGTCTCTCTATAGTGTGGCCCCGTGACGAGTTGAACACTGAGGACAAAAGAAGAGGCTTTATTTTTACTCACAAATGAACCCTCACAGCTGTTAAAGACATGAGAGTGTAGTAGTACTCACACTCCACAGCCTGTTTAGGATCCATCCCGTCGACATCTATCAGGTACCTGCAGGTCAGACACAGCTGTTATACACCTGGTGCTCACACTACACGGCTCCAACTGTTCTGTACATACCTGCAGATCAGGTAACCAGTGCGATTCAGGCCGTGGGTACAGTGGACTCCGATCAGTTTGTCTGGGACAGAACCAACAGGGAACACGTGACATGAAACAGGTGAATCTATGCAGTTCATTCATTTACACATGCTGTGCTGCACCCTCACCTAGAGGAGATAAAAACAGGCTGTGACTATGCAACATGAGCCCAGACTCCACAACAACCCAGTGCTGTTCTTTCCACCTGTTACACAGGTTTTCTTTCTAGCCTTTCTCTTCACAAAAGAAAAACTGACAGATTAACTGCAGTCACAATCATTTTTCTCTGTTGATCTGAACCAAGACATCAAGTGCTCTTTGCTGCTGCTCAGCCACGTTCCTCTTCCTCGACCACTTCTCTCTGCTGCAGTGAAATGATACTGAACCCTGTTTCAACACGATCACGACTCCAAGAGTCTCTGCTGCTTCAGAAAGACTCTTTCACTCTGACAGTTTTCAAAGTTTTACAGCTGAATAATGTGATGTAGTGTGAGGTAACAGTGAAATAAAGAGAGGAAAACCGCTGAGAATTATGGTGATGTGCATTACAAAGATATTACAGTGCCTTGCGAAAGTATTCGGCCCCCTTGAACTTTGCGACCTTTTGCCACATTTCAGGCTTCAAACATAAAGATATAAAACTGTAATTTTTTGTGAAGAATCAACAACAAGTGGGACACAATCATGAAGTGGAACGAAATTTATTGGATATTTCAAACTTTTTTAACAAATAAAAAACTGAAAAATTGGGCGTGCAAAATTATTCAGCCCCCTTAAGTTAATACTTTGTAGCGCCACCTTTTGCTGCGATTACAGCTGTAAGTCACTTGGGGTATGTCTCTATCAGTTTTGCACATCGAGAGACTGAAATTTTTGCCCATTCCTCCTTGCAAAACAGCTCGAGCTCAGTGAGGTTGGATAGAGAGCGTTTGTGAACAGCAGTTTTCAGTTCTGTCCACAGATTCTCGATTGGATTCAGGTCTGGACTTTGACTTGGCCATTCTAACACCTGGATATGTTTATTTGTGAACCATTCCAATGTAGATTTTGCTTTATGTTTTGGATCATTGTCTTGTTGGAAGACAAATCGCAGTCCCAGTCTCAGGTCTTTTGCAGACACCATCAGGTTTCCTTCCAGAATGGTCCTGTATTTGGCTCCATCCATCGTCCCATCAATTTTAACCATCTTCCCTGTCCCTGCTGAAGAAAAGCAGGCCCAAACCATGATGCTGCCACCACCATGTTTGACAGTGGGGATGGTGTGTTCAGGGTGATGAGCTGTGTTGCTTTTACGCCAAACATAACATTTTGCATTGTTGCCAAAAAGTTCGATTTTGGTTTCATCTGACCAGAGCACCTTCTTCCACATGTTTGGTGTGTCTCCCAGGTGGCTTGTGGCAAACTTTAAACAACACTTTTTATGGATATCTTTAAGAAATGGCTTTCTTCTTGCCACTCTTCCATAAAGGCCAGATTTGTGCAGTATACGACTGATTGTTGTCCTATGGACAGAGTCTCCCACCTCAGCTGTAGATCTCTGCAGTTCATCCAGAGTGATCATGGGCCTCTTGGCTGCATCTCTGATCAGTCTTCTCCTTGTATGAGCTGAAAGTTTAGAGGGACGGCCAGGTCTTGGTAGATTTGCAGTGGTCTGATACTCCTTCCATTTCAATATTATCGCTTGCACAGTGCTCCTTGGGATGTTTAAAGCTTGGGAAATCTTTTTGTATCCAAATCCGGCTTTAAACTTCTCCACAACAGTATCTATGTGCAAAACTGATAGAGACATACCCCAAGCGACTTACAGCTGTAATCGCAGCAAAAGGTGGCGCTACAAAGTATTAACTTAAGGGGGCTGAATAATTTTGCACGCCCAATTTTTCAGTTTTTTATTTGTTAAAAAAGTTTGAAATATCCAATAAATTTCGTTCCACTTCATGATTGTGTCCCACTTGTTGTTGATTCTTCACAAAAAATTACAGTTTTATATCTTTATGTTTGAAGCCTGAAATGTGGCAAAAGGTCGCAAAGTTCAAGGGGGCCGAATACTTTCGCAAGGCACTGTAATAATAAGTAGGAGAACATTTCTACCTGATACCAAGGATTCTCCAGTCACATCACACTGTGACTCATATGATTCTAATAAGGCAGCATTAAAGGCATTTATTTCCTTAAATGACAGCTTCTGACATATTACACTGCACAATACGCCTGAGCAGGACTTCTCACCGTTATCTGCGTTGTTTCGTAGAAACCTATGCACAACACGTTTGAAGCTGAGGATCGTCTCGTCGCTAGGAACCTCATGTCCCGCCGTGAAGATCTTCACATACAGCAGTGACTCTGGTAAATCCTACAGACAAAACAGGCGGACTACTCACTCTGTATCCCTGCGAGTTAAAAAAAGAAAAGCCTCACAGTGATGACACAGTGTTGTGTAGGTGTCTGTTCACCTGTAGTTTGTAGTAGCGTGTGGTGAAGGTGAGGTCGATGATCAAACCAAGCTCTTGATTTTCTTTCTTCAGAGAGTCCAGCAGCTCCCAGGGGCCAAACACGTCCGAACATGGAAGCTTGTGGTTCAAAGACTAGAGAAAACACAGAGATGTCAAAGGGCAGCCACAGTCTGTTAAAAGACATAATCAGTGTAACTCCTGACCTGCTTGAGCGGCACCTTGAAGGCAATGAACCGTGTCCTGGGAAGCCTTCTCCCAACAGCGGTGTAATCCAGCCATCTGGTGGAGAAGGAAAACCTCAGTGATGCCCACATATAGAGCTGCTTTTCTCACTCCAACCACGTTTTTGTACATCATGGGAAACCAGTAGGTATAACAACAGATGTAGATTTAGTCACTGTCACCCCTTAATCTGAATTTCTCGGACTGGGGGGTGGGAGAGAGAGTCCAAATGTCCTTTTTCATACAATGACCTATCTACTTTCAGTCCTAACAGACATTACTGATTAATAATCTCCAAATGTAATTACTGGATCGATTCCAACATCATGGATACCGAACACCAAAAGTCCCAACCCGGTCGAAGTTAGCTCGTTTTAACGTTGGAGCCCATTGTTCTGCTTACCTGTCCGGTATGCCGTTTTTCTTACCAGATCGCGGCATTTTTATTGTTTCTCTATCGCTACTGGTTTCTTTTGTCTGCTAAAAATAACATTCCTAAAGACCAAACGAATAAAAAGCTGAAAACGAACGGTACCACGTGTAGCCACAGTTAGCGGGTTAACTCTCCAACTAGCTGTAGCTCCTACTTTATACACGCGGACTAGAGGTGGACAAAATGTCCCCGATACTAAAAAGCACTGTTTACTTTTTCAGTCTAACCTCTCCCATGTTATTTACAACCTGAACTAACGGGGCCCTTGTCAAAGGAAGAACTAACTGAAAGCTGCTGTTTTCGACTGCAGTCGCGAGTTGATGACGTGTAACACAAAAATGATCCTACACGTGGTGAAAAGATGGATGTCAGGGCCGTAGCTGGTGGTGTTGGTGGTGTAGAACTAACTGAAAGCTGCTGTTTTCGACTGCAGTCGCGAGTTGATGACGTATAACGCAAAAGCTGACACGTCACTCGACTGCACCCGGTGCCGGTACCTCGGTCCCAAATAATCATTTATTAAAGAATGGACATTTAATACAGAAAAAAATATTGAATTCATGTATTTACTAATTTATTCATCTCTGTGTGAATTAATTATATTTCTACAAACGTATTTCTACTTATATATCCTATTTATTATTGTAATTAGTCTGTAAATTATAAATTTTTCTACTTTTATTTCTTTATAGGCATTTTATAGAAAGAAATGTAGATAAATTGAATAATATTGAATTATTTATATCAAATAAGTAAACATATAAGCTGCTTAAATTTGGTGCATACAGAAAAATATATTTTATTTATTTTTTAACAATTTAATGGTAACACTTTAAGTCCTACTGTTTAGCATCCATAATCAGTATGGAGCATTTAATAACTGTTCCTAACAGACTAAAATACAGTTGTAAGCAGATATGTGTAACATATTTGTTAACAACTCCTCCTGCGAACATCCAGAACAAGAGGCATATGTTATATAGAAACAGATCAATACTGGCAATATAATAAAACACATCTGAGGTAATACTAGAGAGGAGATGTTATAATTGATTATAAAGCTGTACATTGATAAACACTTTAACTTATATTGGCTGACTACTTCACTATTTATTTGTTTCTATTTATCTTCTGAAACTTTGGGCCCTGAGAGTTGCAGCTACTACACAGCTGGTACAGTAATATGGAAACTGCAGGATTCCTCTGTTTGGATGTTTGTGGAGACTGTTTGCTGAGTGTGTGCTGAGGTGTGTTGTGATTAATGCAGCAGATACATTAGGCTCTGTATTTAAACTTCAGGTCTTCAGGTCAGTTATTTTCCTTAATGTAATCAGGGTTGATGTGCACAGTGTGCAGTGTACCCATAGCTGTACTCACAACTATCACTGCACTGTGATACCGTGATACTGAACCTAAGAACATGAGGATTCACGAGGTGCCTGAGGTTGTATACTGAGGATAAGATAGATAGACAGATACTTTATTACAGATTCAAGGTCCAGATGTATAAATACTAAAAAAAAACAATAAAAACCATAAAACAGTCAGCAATAAATAACAATTTAAAACTACCTTTTTAAAAGGCAGGTATACCAGTGTTTCCAAAGTACTGAAGTATATCACATATCACTATATGTAATATTAGTCAGCAATAAAACTATGTTGTTTCCAGAATTATTCAAACAACAAATAAATGTATACATTAAATTTCTTAAAACATCAGATAGTGTAGTGATCCAAGATGCCACAAACAATTCACTGGCGCTCATCCATCTAGGCCATTTCAATAATAACCTCAAGGCGTCATTATAGGCCACTGTCAGTTTCCTAAGACTGCCTTTTTTGTAATTAGACCATAGATGTGCAGTGTACAGGGAGGTACAATAAGCTCTAAACAGTCAATTTTACTCCATCCGAACACGAACCAACTTTCCGAACAACACATTTGCTTGTGCATATAACATGCAGCACTGCCGATACATATCCCCGTCATCAGACAAGCAATCGTTTATAACATGACCCAAGTACTTAACTTCACCACACACAGTTAAAATGTTACCAGGTAACTTTAAAAAAGGGAATGCAAATAAATAAATAAAAACACTTACAAGGGACATTGTTGGCCTTCTAAGGACTGAAACACCACCATGGGGATAAATATCTCCGGCTCAACACCAGTCAGTCAGAACTGATGAAGCCTCTTGGATGAGAGGTGAAACGTCTTCGACCTAGAAATCTAGTCCAGTTGATTTTTTCTAAGGTTATTTCGGTTTACTATGACCTGGATGACTGAGAATCTGCACAGACAAATAAAAACACTTGATTAGATTGAAACTAAACTCTGAAAACAGCCTCATCACACGGAAAAGCTGTTCTGGTGTTTTCATTCGTTTCACGCCATCTTCCTGAGCAGATGAGTTTGTTGACTTGTCATGCAAATTTAAATTTCCATTTATTCTGAGCAATTCCTACTTAGAAAAATCTTTGAAAGGTCAAGGATGAACTTTGGATTTCAAACTGTTCATCAGTTTGTGTAAAGATGAGGGTGTAATCCTCCTTGTAATCCATGTCAGAAGTAGGTCATGACTCTAACAGCAAGTGGTTTATGGTCAGTAGACGAATGCTGACTCATCTGAGAGCTAACACGTGAGGGAAACACACCTGAGTGGGATGTGTGGAAAGAAGAAAAAAGGCAGAGTTATGTAACACTGTGTGACTAAATGCATGTGATCCTTCAGCCTAAAGTGGGAACTCCATATATGGTCAGACAGGTGTGCCTGAAGGTGTGGCTTTACAGCTGTGCTGCCAGTTGTTTGACGTGGACTGTAGTGCAGGGACGGTCTGAGGCAGTTAGAGAGCAGTGCTGCAGAGGAGAGGACTGATGGAGCATGGGGGGGAGTGTAACAGGGCGCTGCTGGTGTCTGTGGCAGAGTTTGACCAGGGAGTGAGTCTGGGGAAGAGACCTGGAGCCCACAAGGACAACAAGAGACTCCACCGCACCCTCAGCAAACTGGGCTTCAAGGTGCACGTCCACAGTGACCTGAGCAGTGAGGAGATCTATGAGCTGTTTCTCAAAGGTAGCACACCACACACACACTCTGCATGGAACCATGCACACACTGCCAGTCACTTTATATGTATATTAATAAGTACGTATATAGCAGAACGGTCCTGAAGATCTACTGGGACCCTTTAAAGAACCACCCAGGTGCACCACAGAACAAGCCTTCCTCCCTGTGGCCACTGAGCTGCACAACACTTCCTCTCTCCTGCTGCTTGCTGAGCAACAGGAGCACTGGTCTACTACTGAATAGTGCAGTCATGCAACCTATTATTATTCTGAATGATTTATTTAAATTTATTATTGTTACCATTCGTGCGTGATCCTTTTAAATGCTTTCATTTGTATACTGTGTAAATTGAGCATGTTGTCACAATACCTTATTGATGCCCTAATGATCCCGTGAACCTCTTAATGGTTCATAGAACCTAGGAGAAACAGAACCTCCTGAAGGCCCGCTACCTAAAGAATTACCAGGACTTCTTAAACAACAGGTAAAGCCTCTGAAAGGCCCTCCAGAACCTCCCACAGGACCACTAGGACCTTCTTAATGACTCAAACCTCTTAAGCCAGCTGCAGACCCTCCTCAACAACCATGTAAAACATCTGAACCAGCCCTAGAAACGTCCTGGAGGACCTCTGGAACGATCCAACTGATCAATAAATCCTCATAAATGATCCCCAGGACCACTTTAGTAACAGTTACTGAGCAAACTGAAAGTTCAGACAGAGTTTTACTGCTGCTTATCACACGCACACACTGTTCATGATTGCTGATCATGCAACACACATCTATCTGTATCTGTATTAGAAAAACAATGTAATAAATCAGGACTGCAGAGAAGAGAAGCCTTGTGTTGTGTTCACATCAAATGTGCAGCTGCAGAAACAGTACGAGTTACTTCACGAGCACCCGACGCCTTCTGACGACTCCCTCATGAGTCAGCACACAGCTTGGAGCATTCCTTCACCTGTGCACGTTGATCATGTTGTGGAAAGAGGTGTCCATGCATGTCTGATCACTGTTGCATGCGAGCCAGTGCCTGCTCCCTTTGTCAGTCTGCACTGAGCCTGATAAAGCCTCAGTGAAGTGTATGACTGTGTGTCTGTGCCGCAGAGAGCCGGTGCCTGGTGAAGGACTGCTTTCTGGCCGTCCTGTCTTCTCACGGGGAGGAGGGCTGTGTGTTCGGAGCTGATGGGAAACCCGTCCTGCTGTCTCGCATCTTCAGATGTTTTGACAACGAGTATATGGAGAAGAAGGCCAAAGTGTTCCTCATACAGGTAGACCTCACTGCCACCGACACAACAGCATGGCAGCAGTTTGACTGGGCAGGCTTTTTAACCTCTCACAGGTTTCTCCACAGCAGCAAGAGTCCAAATGCACAGACAGGAGAGTCTTACATGTCTGCACATACTGGATTTCTTCCTCTTTGCAGCACCTCTCTTACAAAGCTGAATCTCTGCCTGTAGCTTCCACACTGCCAGCCTGTCAGTCTTGCACCTTGGTTCCTGTGGGTCATGCTAACAGTCTAACTCTTCTTCAGGATTTGTCTTATGACGACCTTGTCTTGTTGTGTCTCTGCAGGCCTGTCGGGGACACGGCCTGGACGATGGTGTGGAGGTGGATTCAGCTGGTGACAGCAGAGCGTGCGGCTTCTTCCCTGATCTCTCTGTTCCTGTAGATACAGCTGTGATGTACGCCTCAGCCCCAGGTGAGGACCGGTCCATGTACAGTCTGTATTCTCTTTGTTTCCTCAGAGGGAAAGGCGATTGATGACACAGCATCAGTAAAGTGGCAGCCTGTGTCTTTATCAGCCCCTGCACATCATATTCCAACTGCAGGTCCTCCTCAGACTCATACCCGCAGGAAGGAAATGATCATTGAGGTCTTTTAATAGGTTTAATGTTTTGTGGTTGATAAATGGCACAGTCTTGTATCCTCATGTGTGAGAGACAAAATATTGTGAATGACAGAGATGAAAACTAACTCATCTCAAACATATAAAATTACAAATCAGTAGTGGTTCAGTCATTCCATTAGCTCTGCCTCAGTGGTGGCGTTTCTGTGCTTCACCCTGACTCCTCTCCTCAGGTTACGCAGCCTTCACAAATCCAGTGGGCTCAGTTTTCCTCCAGACTTTCTGCACATTATTAAAGGAGGAAGGCAATCGCCAGCTGGAGCTGACTCGGCTGATGACCCGCCTCTCCCACACTGTGGCCTACAGCTTCCAGGCCAAAGGTCATGCACTGGCTGGGAAGAAGGAAATGCCGTGCCTCCTGACACGACTGACCAGGGAAGTGTTCCCATTCTCGGAGCCAGAGAAAGATAGCGGGGCCGCGGGGCTCTCAGCCACGGCGCTGCTCGGCCCTGAAGCCGTCAGAACACGGACTCCTTTAATTGGTTAGACTGCAGCTCCTGACTGCATCTAGACGTGAGACTATCAGCGTTAACTCTGGTGGCCTAAACCTCGTAGATTTCACTGGCTTTCACTAACTACACGTCTAAGATCGACTGGATCAGGACATTCCTCAGTAACTGAGATTCCATTTAGAACTGTATTCCAAATGATATTTTTCCAAAACTAGGTGGTTTTTCATTTTTGCTTATGTCAAACTACAGTCTTGAAACATTTCCACTGAAATTGGCCAAACGAACACTTTGAGTCTTTGGTCTTTAATTTTCAAACACAACTTCTCTCCTCATAATTATCTTATTTGGAATAACCAGGACTTTTTGTTCAAAAATAAATCTCTTTTTCCAAACAGGCTCAATAATAACATACTTCTTTTTTAACCTTTGATGTCTCAGAATTTCTGTCTAAAATATCCCTGTAACCCTGAAGTGATCTGCTATTGGAACAGACGCCGTTCCTAAAGGTGTGATGATGTTATAGTGCAGCACAGAATCTTCTCCTGTATCTCTGACTGACACCATGGTAGAAATCTGTTTGCCCTTCAGACCGAAACAAAAGAATCAGATCCCTCTTTCAGAACAACGCTGTCACTGTCCCATACCTATTACATTGCTGGAGAAAGTCTGTCCCACATATTAAGTGAGGAAAAGGTTTGGCCATCGACTTCAAAACACCCGATGACAAACAAACCTAGAGATGTTTGTTTCCAACTTCTGCATCGATGTCAATCAGTGAAGCATCACCTGCAAAAACTAAGGAGAAACACTAACGTAGCTTGTTCCTTGTGTGGAGTCGATGACGAAACAGTCTTACATTTATTTTGCACCTGTCCTGACTGTGTTGTGCTATTTTCATTGTTACAGTTCTTCTAGTTTCACACTAGGTTACAGAGATATTATATTATATTAGTATTATATCATAAACCTCTTTAATATCCTAGGTAAAGTTCCTATTCACAGATCTAAAGTCAGTAAAAGAAAACCTTGATTTAATAACACGACATTAAAAGTGCTGTTGATGTTATTGTCTCTCAGCGCCTGAAGTTCTGGTCCTCTTCAACCAAATGAGCTGGTTTGATTGGGCTAATTAAATTCACCAGGTGGCCCACCTGCACTTAGCGCATGCTCAGTGGCTGTAGCTGCGCAGGGTTAGTCTGAGACCACTCCCTCTTTCTCTCATTCACCACAATCTTAACACTCAGTTTACCCCCACACTGCACTGTAACAATGCACCAAAACATGCTGGAGTTGGGTTTCCATCTGCTACATTTCAAAACAAGAGGGTATTGGGTGGAGTGGGAAAAGTATAATCAACAAAAGCACCATGGAAACAAACTAAGTGAATTGTTCTTCTTCTGTGTTTTGGCACTTTAGACATTACTAGGCCCTTTGCTCTCATGATCATTGACTTAGTCTGCACCATTTCCTGTATGTGAAGTTAGGCCCTTTGCTCTCATGATCATTGACATAGTCAAAAAGCACCAAAAAGCACAATTCTGTCCAAAACATCTTGACTGAACTCGTCACTGATATGTTTTGTACAGACTAACTAACACAACCTGAATATACATTACTGGATTCATATTTATTTAAGGCCTTATTGATCCATGGCATGCCCACACTTGTGTCTGATCAGATGTGCACTGTGTTTGACACTTCTCTCCTTCTCCTGTACGTTTGGCAGCACCAGCTACTAATGGGCATGTTACACCATTATTCATACGAGTCGTCCCCAGAGACCGGTGACATTGAAAAATTCCACATGCCTCAGTGTTTGCGAACGTCTAATAAGTTGCTGAGCGTGCGTAGGACATTTCATTGAGATGAAATATGGAAATGAAAGTTAAAATGTTAAACCTATAATAGTTTCAATGAGCATGTGAAACCTTCAGTTCCTGAAACCTACTTTTAGAATCAAATTTAGAGTAAATTGGTCCTGTTCTCACTTTAAATTCTTACATGAAATGACAGGTAGAGGAAAATTCTAACACAGCCCACTCCAGCAGACACTCGCAGCCACATTTGCATCAGGTTATTGCCAAATCAGGTGCCACAGGTTTAGAGACGTACAAGGCATAGCAAATGAATCGGTTACTAATGGACACAGTATCATATGCAATAATAATTCTGACATATTCATGCAACAAACCCATATCATTTTGTTGTCAGCTGACCTCGTTTGTGTTCAGGATGCAGTTTTGTGCCATGGAACATCAGAAAGTGCTTCCCAGCTGTTTCCTTTTGTGTTTTAAGAAACTAATTAACCACTGCAGCAGAGAGAAAAGACTATGACTTGAAAAAACGGCAGAATAGAAGAAGAAACTGTAGAAAAAGGCAAAACTGGGCTTAAAATTCTCACAAGTGAAATGCAACAATACATACAAACTATTCAGCACTTCACAATCCTAAAGCCTTAAATACAGTTACTTTATTCACATGATGTCATTTTATAAACTGCTAAAGCTTTTTTCTTGTTCACCCCCGGCTCATGTCTATTACTTACTAGTTTTCTATCTTACATTTCACTGTTAAATTGATTATTTCTTGCAAACAAAAAAAGTCGTAGCTGCACCTTTAGTCATATCTACAGGGCGTGATGACAGGACCGCTGGTTGTGTAACGTCGTCTTTCTCTTCTTGTGCTGGGAAACGACAAGGTACGGTTTGTACACGTCTCACTCAGGTGTTTCTCTGGGATATTTGCTCTTCAGGTGACTCAACACTCACCTGCTGACCATAAAACCTTATGACTCATTTCCATGAACTACATCAGGCCTGGAGTAAAACTCCAACATAATTAAAATCCAACTTTTCATTCCATTGTTTAATCATCCAGGTGGTAAAAATGTACCTATGATCAAGTTCTGTTATAAAAGACTATTATTTTATTTGCCTCCCTTTATCTCTGCACACATTTTGGGTCTATCAGGTGCCAAGAGTCTTAAAGTACCTTAGTCTCCTCCATGAGGGCTGTGAGCTCAGCCCAGTTCTCTTCACTCTGTTTACCCATGACTGTGATGTCATTCACCCCACAAACACAGTAGTGAAGTTCACAGACGACACCATCTCAGACAATGATGAGACTCACTACAGAGAGGAGATCCAGCACCTGACAAGGTGGTGTTCAGATAACAATCTTGTCCTGAACACCAACAAGACTAAGGAGGTCATTGTGGATTATAGGAGGTCCAGGAAGACAAAACATGCTCCTCTTCTCATACACAGGGAGGTGGTGGAGCAAATGGATAACATCAAGTTCCTGGGCATCCACATCACATCTGACCTGACCTGGTCTCTGAACACATCCTACCTGGTGAACAAAGCCCAGCAAAGGCTTTTCTTCCTCAGGAAGCTGAAACGTGCTGGTCTCTCCTCTCAGTCCCCCCTATGGACAGACATAGAACACTGGACCTCACACCTCCTCTTAAAGAGATTTACACTGAGCTCCACCTCATAATGTTACTACACTCTTATTGCTAACATGCTGCTGACCTCATTAGGTCCCATACATCCCTTTTTATTTGTTCATATTATTGACTTATACAATTTTGTGTTATGTAAATAATGTGTCTGTCTTTTAAGCTGAGAGCTGCCAGAAAAAATTTCATTGTGCTATGAACAATGACAATAAAGATTCTTGACATGACTTGATGAGCCGTCAGCAAAGGTTACTGTAGGTCAAAAATCAAATTTTAGATTAATTCAGGCCTGGACGTTCCTTGACGTCACCAACCTTCTACTTCCAAACTACTTTCCCATTCTAGTATTTTCATTATATACAGATGTATCTGTTCTTCATGTGCGCCCACTCTGTGGTTACCGGCCCCTCACTGCAGCCCGTTAACCTTCCACTGCACAAGGCTGAAGGACACGCGAGCTGTTGTTACCTACCGTACACTGAACTCTGTAAGACTATATTTTCTGTAGCTGTTCTTGTCACACAGGCTGTCTTGTACTTCCAGCTGCTCCAGAGGATTTGTATCTGATGTTCTCTCATGTCTGAAGGCACATTAGTGCCACAACTGCAGCTCATGGAATAGTCTGTGCTCCTGCCTCCTTGCAGGTGAGTGTGATTACAAAGAAGTGAGTTTTGAGCTCTGAGAAAAACTGGCAGCATCACACAACATGTCAGAACTCAGTGAACATTTATTAACTGAGGAACCAGATAACAATCATTACTACCAGGTGAACGGCATGGAGAGCAAACCAACCCTGTGCCACACTTCACTTTCAGTTCATATAAAGGAATTTAAAAAAGTGAGTTTGCAAAAAAATACAGTCTGAAGAAATTAGAGATGCAGTCAAATATTGACCAGTTACTTCTCATACTAATATAAAATGTGATATAAAAAAGTTTTTAAGGGGCCATATTTACAGCATTACAAAGAGGTTCAGGTCACGCTGAGCTGCGTTTTATCATGTGTGACACAGTAAAACCAGCTCCTCACAGCTGATTGGCTCGTCTGAGTGACAATGGCTGAGTTAAGGCACTGTGAGAGTTCGCTGCCGATCGGAGAGTCAAGGTTGGAGGCGGGACAAGGAAAGGTGGGAGGACCCCAGGAAGAAGCCGTGCAGGGTGAGGAGGTGGGCACGTCGGAGGAGGGCAATGACGTGGAGGGTCCTGGAGTGACGACGCCTCAGAGGGTGTGGGTCCTGTGGGGTTTGGTGGTGAGGGACAGCGGCTGCAGCTGCTCGGTGTAGGGTGACGTGTGTCCATAGGAGGAGTGCGTGTGCTCGGTGTGCGTCGGGGCCGGAGCGGCGGGTGAGGCCAGCGCTGTGGTGGGGGTCGCCGGCGAGTCCAGGGAGGAGGCGGGGCTGGCCTGGGACAGGTGTGTGTAGGTCCAGGTGGGACACGAGGTCTCTTCAGATGCAGGGAGAAATCCTCCACTGCTGCAGGAGCTGAAACAGACACACTCATCAGTCCACTGCAGCTCTGTACAGACACATCTACCCTCATCATTGGTTTGAAAGAGAACCGCACAAGAAGAGGCCACCGCCTCATCATTGGTTTGAAAGAGAACCGCGCAATAAGAGGCCACCATGACTTAAACCGTATTTAAAACCACTGCGCTGGATTCTCGGGTCTGATCTGCTTTGAACATCAGTGTGTTGCCCTACAATATTAGTGACCTGAGCTCCTAGTCAGAGCTGCTGTGAACTGTTAGCTTAGCATTAGCTCATGCAGACTGACAGGACAGGGAGGTGTAACACTGATCACCACCGTGTCGAAGGCGTGTTCTAACATGAACGCCGTCTTACCTTCACGCTGAGTTTCACTCTTTGTTCTCTTCCTCTTCTTCTTTTTACCCTGAACAAAAACAAACACACTGATATGAGCTGATGAAAACACGGCTGTGCAGCGACCGGCTGTCCG